CCCCCCGGTACATAGTTGTATATTCTTCGTTGTGGGTCCTTCTAGTTGTGGCATGTGCCTCAGCGTGGTTTGATGAGCAGTGCCATGTCCGCGCCCAGGATTCGAACCAACGAAAAACTGGGCTGCCTGCAGCGGAGCATGCAAACCCAATCACTTGGCCACGGGGCCAGCCCCTACCTTTATGAATTTTTATCAATATTTTGCTTCGCTTTTTATTTTAAATTTTAGTACTCTTAAATTAATTTTCTACCTTCTAATTCTTTATTGATTCTGTTGTTCTTTTTCGTTTCCTCAATTAAAATCTTATTTCAGATGCTTTTAGTCTGTCTTATTTACAAATAAATGCTTTAAAGCTATAAATTCACTGATATATGTCACTTGAGAATCATCTATAAACCAGAAAAAGAGACTATGTGCTCACCTAGGTAACAACAACACATGGTAGTAAGACTGCAAAAACTAATCCTTAGTGACCACTGTTTACAAATCTCAGAATAATTAAAATTAAACAAAACCAAAAAGCACAAACGTGTGAGCACAAATACACACTTTGTTCATAGTTCTCTGCTTCCCATTTTAAATATTGAGGTACTGAATTTCAATCACCACAGAAAATTGAGCAAAGCATAAATAAATCATTGCTGAAACTTATAGACCACATCAATTATCAAATTCACCATGTCATTTTTAACCATGCCATCTGGATCAGTCTCTCTCCTTCACTCTTTTCATAAGTTTCTAACAAACCCTGATGAGGAATCAAAGTGCTGGTTCTGCTGCCGGGCGGGTGAGTGACTTGGAAAGGCTCCCTGATCTTCATTGTTTTCTTTAGTTAGGTGGAGGCAAAAATATATACTCTCAGGGTTTCCATAAAGATGAAAAGACAATGTATTACAAGCACTTAATAAACCATTAACAAGTTATCAAATTCACGAGTGAATGTTTCTAGCCCCCAACTAACATCACACAGAAAACGAATTTCAAAGCAAAAATGGCTAGTACTAATTTTCTTGATACTTAATATAGTTTTTTTCCTTTATTCTTGCTAAAATTTCTCCTAATCTCTTACTCCTACCTGTGATGAAAAATATGTTTGTGCATAGATGTGGCCAGATTTCTTTGGAGAAGAAATTTCCCTTCCCTTGTTTTTCGCTGGCATTGTACATCCTTGTACTCACAAACTATCTTTTAATCCTTCTTTCTAGAACTGAGAAATTGTCTATAAGTGTTCAACTTGCTGTGAACTTGGTCAATTAAACTTCTTTTCACTTGTGAATAAGAAAAGAATTTTTTTAAAGACCACTACAAGCCGTTAAAATAATTAACAGTTAAGGAATTCATAATGAAGTGAATATAAACATTTACAATTGTGATGATGCAATGATGTGTTAAATCTTCTCTCATTTACAAAGCTGACTGTAGCCATCTGGCCACATGTCTGGGTTTCCTTAAAAAAAAATCTCTTATATGCCATTAAAAAGTTTAGAAGAAAATTAAAATCTAATTAATAAATTAGAAAAACATCAAATACTAAGTTACACCCTTTTACTATTCATCACAATTTCATATTTTAAAAATTCTCATCTTTCAACTTGATCAAGTTACTTTTACATCAAGTAATCAGGAGATGGGAAGCAGGTGTGTGGTTGCAATACCCAGCATCTTACACGTTCTCACAAATGGAGCAGCTTTGTCACAAATTCATTCACTCACTTCCCTGGATGGTCTAATTCTGACAATACAGGCAACTCCTACCAACTGTGAAATTCCAAGAAGCTTATGTTTCAGCTGCCGTTTTCTTCAAGTCCAATTACAAACCTGCCTCACATTTTATACTAGGGTCTCAATCCTTTCTTAAGGAGATTCTCAGTAGCAGAAACTTCTCTCCCCTAAACAGGACCCCACAGTGGCTGAGGCAGAGTGTTTGCTTAAGAAACCAACAGAAATGTTGGGGCTGCCTGGTGGTGCAGCGGTTAAGTTCATACTTTCTGCTTGATGGCCCCGGGTTCGCCAGTTTAGATCCCGGGTGCGGACCTATGCACACTCATCAAGCCATGCTGTGGCAGGCGTCCCACATATAAAAAGTAGAGGAAGATGGGCAGTGATGTTAGCTCAGGGCTAATCTTCCTCAAAAAAGAAGAAAAAAGAAACCAACAGAAATGTTTACTAGAAGAGAGCAAAGCTCTATATTTGTCCTATGTTGAGGTTATTAAACCTACCAATAAGGAACAGAAGACATAATTTTCAGAGATTTTGTAGAGAATAACTTGGTAAACAGAAAAGCTGGGAAAGCAAGCCTGCAAAGATCTTTCAAGTTTAACTCTGGGTGAGTAACTATAGACATCAAAAAAGGAAAGAGCTTGGAGGAAGAGATTACTCATTGTGTTTTAAATACCTGGAGACGCCGCTGCTTCTCATACTCTTTGGAACCGATCTCAGTGAATATGTTTACCATACAAATAAGAAACAGTGAATGAATGAATTCACTTACTGTGTCAGGAGGAGATTCACGGAAAATATCTTGCATTTTGGTAATTTAACTATCATTGCCATGTCATTTCATGGTTTATACCCCATACCATGACATCCAGGACAACATAGGACATCTCTTTCCCCTACCATCAAACACAAGAATCGGGTTTCATATAAACTGTGCCATCTTAGAGCAGGTGCCTAGCTCCAAGCCATCACTCTGAGCAAGGATAAGTGGGATCTATATCATGATTTGGCTTAAATTATAGGTTACCTGTCCATCCTTGAGCCTATCACATCATCAAGGATGATTTGTCATGATTGCCTTAGGCTGATCAGAGTCCAGGACTACAGATGAGGATGGAGTCAACCAACCGAATAGCATGGCTGCTATGTAATGGTGACAAGGTAGATCGGAGCCTAGAGGAGCGACCAGTCTAATCCAGGTAGGACGATTGCAGCAGTCCCACTGTTTATGCTCCTCCATGCCATATTTCACCTTTCCCTCCTCTTCCCTCTCAACTTTATTTTCCCAAAATTTCCACATGTGCAGCTTCAGCCACCTGCACTTGGTCCCTCTGGATGTTCTCCTTGCCCTGGGCCCCCTTTCTCAGCTCCCTAAACAAATCAGAGTTAAGTCCCTTTCCTCTAGTTTAACCCAAATAAGTTGCTGTGCTAAGAAACTAAGATAGAAACAACAACGAAAACACTAAAGTGTAGAATCAAATTAGGAAGGCAAATTTTTCAAGCTCAGAAGATACTAACAACCTTCCTCTTCCCCACTGCCTTGTACTCAATTTGTCCCCGCTGCATAATAAGTGCTTAAGAATTATTTGTTGAATTAATTAATGAATCCTAAAGTAATTTAAGTCTAGCCATGGATATGTCAATTCACATTGCCATTTGCGGTCACTAGTTATAAAAAATCAATCTTCATTATTCACAAATTCTGTATTTGGTAATTAGCCTCCCTGTTAAAAATTTATTTGTAACCCCCAAATAGTTACTCACAATGCTTTCTCAGTCATTCAAGGACATGTGCAGAGGGCACAAAATTTGTCACCCTTCTCATGTGTTTCCAGCTGAGGTCCAACAAGGTGACTCTCTGCCTCCTTGTTTCAGTTCTCACACTATAAACAAGTGGCCTTTTCAGGATCTATTGAGTGCCACATTTTCTGCATTTTGTGCTCTTGGTTGAGGGATTTTGCTGTTTAAAATGGCCCTAACGCATACAGCTGAAGTGCTGTCTAATGTTCCTAAGCACGGGAAGGCTGGATTACGTCTTCTGGGGAAGATGCACGTGTAGATAAGTTTTATTCAGGCATGAGTCATAGTGTTGTGGGTCATGCATTCAGTGTTAATGAATCAACAATGCAGTAACTCCAAAAAAGGAAAAGGAAATTCACTGATCTGTATGTGGAGCTTCTCCAGAGTGCTAAAGTAATATCATTAATGCTTTGATGAAGCTATGAAGATATGGAAAAGGAGCTAGATTTGTGGATGAATGAGATGATGACTCCTTTTTTTTGTTAGTTTGTTTTTAAAAATAGAGTAGACAGCACAGCTGTGTGGATGAAAGCCCAAGAAATTTACCAGCACATTACCCAGGGTGGGGAAAATGTGAATCCCCTGCTGATTTTGACAAATGCAAATTATGATTCAGTAAGTCTGAGACCCAGGATTCTATATTTCTAACAAACTCCAAGAAGATAACTCTGCTGCATGTCCCAGAACCACACTGAATAGTGGGGCCTACATCCTGCCTTCCTCTTTCTGTTTAGACCACTTGAAACGATAGTTTCATTCCAATAGGTCTCTATATTTAAATAATAAGACCTGTCAGAGGCAACACTGGGTTTCTCCTCAGGGGCTCAGAGAAGTCACTAAGGAATTAGGAAAGTGTCAGTCCCTTGGCCAAGTGAGAAAACTTTTAACAAGATGAGCATCGAATGTTTCAACTACTACAAATGTGTCAGGAAGGGAAAGAATAAGACTATGAATTTGGGATAAATTCAACACGGATTTTTATTGAGAACATATTCTCTGCAGGTGAGACACTTTGCCAAGGATACAAATGTTAAAAAGACATGCGCTTTGCTGTCAAAAAGCTTAAAAATTATAAGGGGAAAAGGGATTTAAATAGCTACAAAAAAGGGCAGGAAGTGAGGATTAGATTTGGCAAAGTACAGTTCAAGTGCACTGGGAAGTCAGACAAAGCAGAGACTGCTTACACTTGTGCATCAGGGAAGGCCCTCTGGAGGGAGTGGCACCTGAAATGGGCCTGATGACCCATTAATATCTGAATGTGTGGAGGTTGCTAGGATCTCATCCATTCAGAGTTATGATATGAGTTTTAAGTGCTAGAACCCAGGTAAGAACAACAAATCCTGCAAAATTACATCTAGCTTATATTGATAATAGATCATTAAGCAGAAATAAAAAACAACAAGTTTGTACAAGGAGAGTTGAAATGACATCAACATGGTGTTGAGTTTTCATATGTTCTGAGCTCCTGCGCTGCTGGGATCTCATTTCAACGGGACAATGGTGCATGGAGCTTCACAGTGTGTCCTGACAAGAACAGAGAAGGAAGTCACTGTGCACGAGGTGGAGGTGAGAAGTGAGGAGTAAGAAGGGAGAGCACTGGGAGGGAGGACTGAGGAGAGAGAAAACAAAAAGATGGGAAGACAAGTAAAGATCAGGACAGAGAGCAGGAAGGAGGGATACAAAGAACTTACCAGCGCTTTCTAAGCCAAAACGCAAGACCCGTCAGAAGCACCAGGGGCACTATCACTGCCAAGAAGATCCAGCCCGTGAAGCTGTGACGTTCTGTGGATTTGAGTGCACACAGGGTGTCATTTCAAATCTACCCCATTTTACTTCATCTCCCTGGTCTTTGTTTGTTCATTTGAGTGTCTGACTCACCAATCTCCTTTCGTCCTATTTCTTCTCTCACCCCTCTTCAGAGATGAATCCTTCATCTAAACCATAATATCCTCCTACATCTGCAGGTCCCTCATTTTCCTTTTGTATATTTCTTGGATAATTAACTTTTATTTCTCTTGGGTCTAATGTTCCTAGAATCCCAGATATTTCATCTGGCTATCCTGCTCTTCTTGAGGACCACTTATTCCCTTTCCCAGCTAGGGCCCCCATTCTTTCTTACCCTGGTAGACAATGATGTCCTGGCCTCCTAGACTGCTGTGTCTCACCCGGCAAGACAGGCCAGCTGCTTCGAGGGCTTCCACATCCAAGGACTTACGAAGATACCATGTCCCATCAGCATTGGGCAAAATGTCACTTTGCTGAGTGCCCAGATGCTCCTGATCGCCCTGCATCCACATCACCCAAATTGGCTTTGGGTAGAAGCCAGAGACGTGACAAACCATCATCAGACGGCCAGGACCAGGACTGGGGCCAGTGGACAGCCAGGCCTCTGGTTTTACTGTAGAGGACAGGAAAGATATTCAGATGAGAACTCTAACATAGACTTAGAGGTTCAGATCTTCACATCAGTTTAGAGAGACATATCTTTCCCACCTCTAGGAATCTGTCACCTGTGATTCCCTCTCTTTGTTTCTTCTCAGTAAGATGGGAAGGGGAAAATGGGAAGGTATGATTTTAGAATGGAGAATTCTCAAGGATGGCTGCAGGACTGACCTTGTCGCTGGAGATCTGCCTTCCCTGCATCAAGAAGACTCAAGAGGAGACGTGGACAGGTGTCACTGAGGAACCTATCTGTTATTTCCAGGCCAACTTTATCCCCATTGTATAGTTCACAGGCATGCTGAGCCCTACTTCCACCATCTGGAGATGGCAACCATGAATTGTTCTGGAAGCTCATGAAATCTGATCCTTGATAAGCACCACGCATGAAGCCTACTGAGATTTCACCAAAGTGCAGCTCACAACCTGCTGTTATCTGTACCTCAAAAGGATCTGGGGAAGAGGGATTATGAATTAATGAATAAAGGAGTAAAAAAGGTAAAATAAAATGAGTGAAAGCAAAAGAATGATAGAAGCTGAATGGAGAAGTTTAGGAGATTTGAGGGAATAGAGCAAAGTTTGACTTCAATAGAGGTTGAGAAAAAGAGGAATTGGTGGTAGTTGGAGATGGAGGAGATGAATGACATGAGGAAGGGGCCAAACTGTTCAAAGAAGGCAACATGAATGGTGTGGGCAAGAGAATAAGTTAGGACTTGAGTGTGAGAGAGTTGACATTATAATAATCCAGAGTGAACAGAATGCAATAGGTCGCAGTGAATATATCAGCAGAGATAACCGAAGAGATGGAGTAGGAGAAAAATAGACTTTAAGGAGGCAATCAAAGAGTGGGGAAGCTGAGAGTATCTGGTTGGAGGCCAGGGAAAGGCGTGGTCACAGGAGACCACTAATGGAAGATAATAAGGCACAGGCTTTCAGTCAATGAGAGAGGAGTTCTTAAGCAACAAGACTTGAAGCTTTTGAAGAATTAGGATCTAGATTATACTCCCTGACTTAAAAATGTGTAATTGCAGTTTTATGATGGGGAGAAGTAAGATTCAGAAGTGAATGGAGGATGTTTCCTAGAGGAATAAGAAACTCATTGAGAAACACATACACCTCCCACCCGTATCCCCACTCCCCAAGGAGGGAACCAAACTCACATTCAAGCTGCCATTGACTGGCAAGGTTGTGAAACATCTGGGGAATTCCAATGGAGGACATACGGAATAATTTTTCCAGTTCCATCCACTCTTCATTGCTGTAGTTGCCCTTGGACCAGGGCCACAGGAAAATGATAGTGCCAGAGCTGCTTTCCCACCCATGAGTCTGCAATTCATCCAACCAACCTGAGCCCAGATTTTGTACCCAGGAACCGTTGTAAAAGGATGAAATTTGGATGATTTGGAAGGAGACTGGCTCCTGGAAGTCTGTGTCAAAAGAATCAACAAAATAAGGACAAAAAACAGGCATTGGGAAGGAGAGAGAATGGAGAAAAACAGGTGCCATAGAGGGGAAACTCAGAATCTGAAGGAAAGGGAAGGCATAGTTATCTCAGGAGACATTTGCCTGCCCAGGGCCCACAACTTTATATTCAAACTTCAGAAGAGCACAGGGACCTGGTCAGGGACACGCAGAATGGATCAAGGCTGACACTCTCATCCTACAGGTATATACTAAAGAAAACCCATCACATACGCACACACACACACAAACATACACACACCCAGACCCTCTTGCACCCAACTGAGGAGTTGCCAGAGTTCTTACCATCTTTATTGTCGCCACCTGGGAGGAGAACTGCTAGCAAATGAAGTTGCAGGAACAGCATTTCATTTGCAGATGTTCTTTCTTTCTCTGAGAATAGTGGGTCTTTGATTTCTGTTCTAAACAAACCTACCCCACAATATCTATATTCTGACTTCCTTCTCCTTCCAACAGAAAAACCTTTCCTTTCATCACTCTCAATAACAAAGAATATCCACTCCTTCCCTAAACCTTGGACTTCCTATTCAGATTCTCATTTCCCCTTTAGTTCTATGGGCCGCCTACTCAGAAACTCATTTCTCCTCCAGTTCTCTGCCTACTCAGACTTGTAGCCCCTCCAGTTCTGACTCTCCTTTATGGCTTCCAGCCTCTCTCCTTGCATCAGCTTCCATCCTGTTCACCTCTCCCTGATCTGATTGCTGTGGAACAGGTCTTGTATGGCACTGAACAGTCTCTTGAACTCTAGGGACTTTTTTTCTCACTCATACAATAAAAGTATGAAATTAAGTTGCTTCCTAGCACCCTACCTAATCTTCTCATGCCCCTGCTCTTTTCTGTCACTCTGTCCTTCTCCTGCCCTTTTGAATATTCCCCAAATATTCTCTTTACCTGTCTCACCCTGACCCCACCTCATTCACATCTCTGACTTCTTATTAATTACTTTCTTTGCTTTATCAGAATGACCTATTATTATCCTGTTGTCAACGAAAATAATCCATAACCAATCTATAAATGAAAATTTGGGAGAGTTTATTCTGAGCTGAAATCTGAGGACCATGGCCCGGGGCCTTTTTTCCCAAAGGAAGAAAGGGCACTGAAGAAGTGGGGTGCACAGAGTGGTTATATACCCCCAAACAGGATGTTTCATATATGATTGAAATGTCCTTTTTACAATAGTCGCAAGACTGCTCTGTCGGCACAGCAATTGATGGAAACAGCAGGTAGGTCTGCTGTCTCGGTGAACACAGCAGTGTGGCAGTCCTGTTGTCTGGAGCTGGGTGGTCACACGTGAGCTGGGTGGTCAAAGGTGAGTGCAGCAATCAGTTCCTAGCCTGAGGAAAGATGTTTATCCCTAAGGAAATGCCAATGTTGGGGGAAGTTGCACCTTTATCTCAAGGGCCTTTGTTCTTGCCATAGGAAATGTTTTAAAGCAGATATACAATGTGTGCTCAACAGCCACAGTCAGGCCCTTTTGGAAAAACAAATCAGGCCGAATTACGTTTACACCAAATGGCTTCCTCACATACTTCAATATATCCTATTGCTTGCCATTTCTATTTTGTCACTGTGTAACAGTATAAATTACCACCAATTCTCCATTTTCTTGGGGAAGAACCAGTAGCCATCACAGAGACCACAGGAACATTGAAACACATAAAGAAAAACCCCTCTGTTTGACTTGCATTGATATATATTCACTCACCAAACAGGCACTTAGCACTGCTGGATCTGAGCATCTTGCTACATTCATGACTATACAGAGCTTGACAATGTGATCACTTTAGTCTACTTGGGAAGAAAAACATTTAAATCAAGAACTATAAATCGTGGTTTGCTGAGTTTTCTTATAATATTTAGACTCTCTAGACAGAAACAAGCATGCTTGAAAACAATAATTTCTAAAGTGGCGATCCTTAACTGATGTTTGCCCACTCAGAATCTTGACTTCAGTGGTTGGCTTGGGCTGTTTTATCCCTACCCCTATTTCACTGCATCCCCAACATCTAACAGTACACCTGGCAAGTGGTATATGCTAAAGAAATATTTTTTGAATGATTGAATAATTCAGTTCAGGCATCCAATTCTTTGTGAAAATGGAGATCTTCAAGATAAAAAAATTTTAAGATATCAGGAAGTGTCACTTGTAACCCTACTTGGTGAAATGAGAATCTTATACAGTTTGATTTAGGATGAAAGTATATGCTAATAAGCATGAAGCTTACACAGAGGGTCCTGCTCAAAATCTCCTATTACTGATAACAAGAAACCAGTGAAAATTTGTGGGAAATGAAGTTAAAAGATTATCCTGGAGTCATTATCCAAGATTCCCTTCTTGTTTGTCCTGTTTGGATGTTCTGTGCTTGTCTTATGAGCAGGTCTCTGCTGGACGTGCTGGCCTCCCTATTTCATGGTGTTTATAACTATTTAAATGTTCTTAAATATTTATGCTTTCTATCATCTGGATAAATATATTTGGGTTGTTTATTTTGTTATTTCTTGGTTCATAAGTCAATAGAAATTATCTCAGGCTAATATAAGGAAGAAAATTTTTTTTGTAAATTAAGATTAGAACATAGAAAATTAGAAAGAGCTTCACTCCCATACTTAGAATTTTTAAAAGCTGATTTGATTTATAATCAAAGTCACAATTTTGCTTGAATCCATCAGAAAGCTGAAATATGAAGGCAACCAATTAACCCAGAATGTAAGGAAAGACAGACTCCTCCAAGGAAATAGGCAATGCAACCTGTACTGACTTGGGACAGATGCCAAACTCTACACAAGCCAGTAATAATTCTACTAACATTGTTAACAAGTTACTCTAAACTATCAGGAATATATAGAACCTCTGAGAGTCACAGACACAGGAAATTCACTTCTATCTCTAGCCTTTTTTCTGTAGACCTCACCAGGGCCTCCTGAAAGATTAGAGTCAAGGATGTAGACCAGAGAAATTCCTTCTCAGGGTGCAAGGCTGAGGTAGGAGAGCAGCTATTACATAAGAAATGAAGTCCCTACCAGATCTTTCTCCCCTATCTCCTACACAGGCAAAGCCTTAACCTGGTGGGGGAAGGGCTGAAGCCCTGTTGCCTTCAGGGCAGGGGTGAAGATGCCCTGCAGCTGGGAGAAGGGAATGACTGGGGAAGGGACAGTAAAACATCCAGTCCTAGACTATTAGAGGTTCCATACTGCTGAGAGAAAGACAGGAACTCTTAAAGGCCCAATCCCCACCTAAAACACAAAGCACCTGCCTAAGAATGAGACTGAACCAGAATAAAGATAATACCCCTAACTCCTTCTCCCAAGGAGGTTAGCAAGCATCAAGTCACAAGAGCAGCCACTGCTGGAAGAGGAGCAAGAGTATGGAGATAATTCCCTTGAGGCACAGCACAAGGGACACACCAAAACCTGAGAAGGAAGCAGACGTTAAGGAAACCCTCTGGCAAACAGCCCACCCTACAAAGTAATGCTGGAGGAATTAGAAGACTGTTGAAACAACAACAAAACACAGACCCAGTTAACTTTTGACCAGATTGATTCAAACCCCCACACTCAATGCTTAGCAAGAGAAAAGACATGCTCACTTCCAGACCCCCCTCAAAATAACTGTTTACCTCAGTGTGTATTATTTTACACAAGATGTCTGTGTTTTGATCAAAAATTATTAAACACACACACAAGAAGAGTGGAGCCCACAGTCACCTAAGAGTATCTGCACTTGCCCAGTGAGTCACTGTGCCCAAGGAGGAGCAACATTAGCAAATTAAAGAAACAACAACAAATATACAAGACCAACAACAAAACACAATGACAGGCTTAAAGCGAGAGAAGGACATTTTTTTTAAAAAAAGGAGAAGTTTTATATTTTAGTAACTTTAAAAGCATTTTCTTCTGGCTTTTAAGTAGGAGGCCCCATATTTTCATTTTGCACCGGACCCAAATAATTATGAAGCTGCCAGTGCTTATAGCCTTGAGTGTGGAGTGGAGGAAGTGAAGAGGAGGCAGTGTGGGTTTGGGTAGGAAGGACAAGGAAGAGTTAACTCAATGAGGAATGATGTTCTGAGAGCAAAGGGATGGAAGATGGTCAGAGACGCCAAGGGGTATAACAGACGCAGGAGGAGGAGGAGGAGGAATCAAAGAGGAGGAGGGGAGGAGGAGGAGAAAGAAGAGGAGCAGAGGAAGAGGAGGGTGGCAGAAGAAGAAGTAAGGAAGCAGATGGAGGAAGAGGGAAGCAGGAGGAAGAGGAAGTGGAAACGGAGAGGGAGGTGGAGGAGGACTGGAAAGAGAAGTAGAGCAGAGCCACAAGTTTCTTCAGCTCAGCTCCTGTGGACAGAGTTAATTCTAATCAGGGATGCAGGAAGAAGCTGGTACTTGTGATGAGGATTTTAGGCTGGTCAATTTTAAAAACTGCGGATTAGAAGGAGGCTCTAAGGAGTGGAATTTGCTTGCCCTTTGATGAGAGACATTTGCATTTGTGAAGGAAGTCTCCATCTGTGGGGGGTGTCTCCCTCTCTGCACTAGGAGGAAGGCAGGATGGCCTTATCTCTGGAAACTCTTAACGGGGAAGGCAAGGACTTAAGCTGTTTACTGTCTGGCAACCTCATGTAACTGACCCCCCCCCCCCCAACATCCTCCTTTGTCTTTAGCTGAAGATAATATTTAAGTGGTGGCTTCTGCCATTTACTTAATCCGGTTTGATTCTTATCTAAAAGTTATGGGACCACCCAATAACCAGAACCTACCAGCACTGATACCATTTTAACAACTTTTTTCCACATTCTTTCCTTTGTCTTGTAAAGAGATAATTCACATACCTATGACTTAAATTTAGCCCTACCCTCAACTCATGTTTGCAGCAGCAGCTCCTCTTGCCCATGCATCCTGTTCCCATGCAGCAGCTCCTCGTGCCCATGGGTCCTGTCCCCATGCTATTACATACTATTCTCTAAATAAAAGAGCACTACTGCCAGACCTTGAAAGTCCAAGAAATCTTTCTTTCGACTCCTCGGGTCACTGATCCCGCATCACTTGAGTCATTATCTCACTGTGAATCTGAAGCTTTCTCAGCCAGCCCCACTCCGGAGTATACACTCGGCTATGGTGGATGAAGGATAGGATCTGAAAGAGGAGAAAGGAAAGGAGCTTCTTGGGAGCTGCTTGAGGGATATTGAGAACTGGGGGAGCTGAGGAAGAGCAGAACTAGAAGTGAAAATCAAGATAAAATGGGGGATGGGGAGGGGATCAGGATCAGGACCAAAAAGAAAAAGAGAATTGGGAAAGAAGGAGATGACTATACAGGTCACTGACAATTGTGTGCTCCCAGATATAGAAAATGCCAGAGGA